CCTTGTCGCTTAGGCTAGTCAACTCGACCAACAACTAGCCAACAAATGAAATATAGCAGAACATAATAACAAAAGCAAGATTTCAACAAACCAGGAAAACTTGGGTACCTGGGCTGGCTTGCGCCATCTCTCATAAAGGCATTTGGCATGTTTTAATCTGATCATGCAACCAAACACATCTCCAATTACACAGTACAACTCAAGTTGTAAGCACGTTGCATGCAACAGTTTTAAGCCAGGTTTCCATATATGGTTGTAACAGTCGTAAAGGGAAAGTTACGATCTTTCTCATCGGTCAGATTATAATAGTTTTTACCTGTAAACCACATTTATATCATACATATTCTCTATATATTATCACTCTGCCTATTATCAGTTGTATTTCAGCTGTTGAAAAAGATCGTGACTCAATCTTTACGACCGTTACGACCATATGGAAACCAGGCTTTGGGCAAATTGGCCTTCAGACAGATAAATTGTGTGTAAATTGGCCTTCGGACAGATAATGCATCATCAAACAACTCTAGCCTTTTATTTAGTCACATAAAATTGAAAGACCTTTATTGGACGTCTATTGGTTGTCCATTCTTAGCAAAATAAAAGCAAAAACAAAGACAAAAACAAAAGCTAAAGTCTCATTGCACAACATGCTTAATTGTTTACTTTCCAGGTTGGAAAACTTGTATCAAATTTCCTCTCGTAGCTGCGAGTGATCTGGATTGATCAGTTGCGAGCTGCGAGTGGACCTATAATCTGATGCAAGCTGCGAGCAAAGTTAACCAAAGTCATCACGCCCTAACAAAACGTTAAATATGTATTTTAGTCTAGACGAAATTTGATATGAAGAACATTCCATCATTGGATTTTTGATTTAATTTAATTTATCTTTAATATTCAATATTCAAGCACCTCTGACAGTCTCCTGGTAGCTTTTGAATACTACAGTATGAGTTTGCAACCCAAGCCTTTCCTCATATAATGTGCATTTTTGTGGATTAATGAATTGTCTAGTTGTTGACAACTTGACTGAACATTGAATCTCCTATTGTTACTGTAATTTGTAACAGCGAGAGTTATTGGATGGGACAGGGTAGAATACTTATGGTAACCAGTATCCAGAAGTGGGATACTGCATTCTCAGGGGGGATACTAAACTTTGAATCCTGGTATCCCAGTTGGATACTGAAAAGATGTTTAAATTTCAGACCCTGATACGGTCATATGGTTGTTTTCGACAGAACATTTTTGAAGAGGCAATGTTGTGCTGGGTTACTATTAATTTTAATTGCTTGTTGGTCATGTTCGACCATCATTTCATCAGTCGCAAAAACTCAAACCCTACAGTATAAGGACATCTTTTAATGCATCGGGTGGCAAATGTGATTGAGGCCAATTTAAGGTATGAAACGTGGGCTGCAGTCAGTGTAGCTGCAAAGCAAGTTTTCCAATTTGGTTTACTTCCATTATATTTGGTAGTTTAATTAGTTTTGCAAGCAAATCAATCAATTGTATTTATACAAGACTACAATATAGGACTACTAGTATTACATGTAATGAAAAGAATTATTATTACTGATTGTAGCACAAAGCATCATAAACACATACCATCTTCACTTTCCAGAGCTAAAAACTTGTCACTGCTGTCGTCTGTCGCCATTTGTGCAGGCTTTTCCTTCCCAGTTTTCTTAAAAAACATGTTTTATATTATAATTTGATTTAAAAACTCTTTGTTTATGTGTGGTTTTCAAAACACAAACACTGGTTTTGAGCCCATCCCAGGTCTTATTGAAGTTATGTATTTAGCATTACATATATCGACGAGTGCCATAAGTATGTGTTCCATAGGTTGCTGCACGGCATCATAGG